TCCGATCGTGTTTTATGGCACCTACATGAAGCTGTTATATTGTTGCAATTATTTTGCTTTATATGCTACCTTTCTTTCCCCCTTCATTTTACTTTATTTTGTACATTTTATTCGCATTCTTCCTGCGCCTTCTCCAGCAAGGCCTGGAGTCCAGGTAAAAAAACGGCCAAGGGCTGCCTGGGGTGCCCCAGAGTAGTGTGGGGCCAAGGCCTCAGCCACCACATGCCCTCCCCAACTCCATAAAGGACACTCTGTTGCTGTCACCCCAGGGCCATGTAAATCAATGTGGCCTGTTACCTCCGGAACCTTATGGAAAGGGGCCAACTGGATAGATTTGTCACGAGAGAAAAAGTCCTCGGAGGCTGTATTTTTAGGTACCGTAGAGCAGGTGTGCGGAGAATATTGGATTTTCGGCCAGTATCAGACTTACGCTGACCCACGCAGAGACGAACCCGGCCTCGTCTTAAAGAACTCAAAGCAAAAGACTTGACCATGTCCATTCGAAGAGTTTGGGGTTATTTCTGCTTCTGTTGTAATAGGGCCCGCTCATAAGAATTTCTCTTTAATTCCCATCATGGCCCCTGGAGGCTGTGTACTGAGAGCTCCAGCTCTGTTCATTCGTTCACTTAACAAATGCGTGTGAGCACCTACTGTGTGCCAGACACCATTCTTTGTGCTGGAGAAGTGGTGTGAGCAACACCCAGGAGGTTCCTGCAACCAGGGAGTGTCCTGTGGCTGCCGTAACAAATGGCCACAAACGGGGTGGCTTCCAAGAACAGAAGTGTATCCCCCACAGTTCTGGAGGCTACAAGTCAGGGTGTCGGTTGGACCGTCCTCCCTCTGAAGGCCCTGGGGGAAGATCTTCCTTGCCTCTTCCAGCTTCTGGTGGCAGCCGGCAACCCTTGGCGTTCCTTGGCTTGTGGCTGCATCACTCCAGTCTCCACCTCTGTCTTCACATGGCCTTCTCCCCTGTGAGTCTGTGCCCAGATTTCCCTGTTCTATAAAGACACCAGTCACTGGGTTAGGCCCACCCTAATCCAGTAGGACCTCATCTTAACTTTATGACATCTGCTAAGCCCCTCTTTCCAAATGATTGGACATGAGTTTTGAGATCTCTAGGTGGCACAAAGGAGCCCTGGTGGCACAGTGGTTAAGTGCTCAGCTGCTAACCAAAAGGTTGA